ATTCCTTATCCACAGAGTGGTCCATCCATCGAACCCATGTCTCTCCAATTTAGAGACATGGATATCATGTGGGACCTTCCACCAGTCCAGGTAGAGTACATCTGTCACTCTTCCCTTGCTGTAACCCCATCGTAGGCGGCCACCAGATTTGTCAGGCAGGATTTGCCCTTACTGAAGCCATGTTGGCTGTCACCAATCACCTCCTTATTTTCCATGTGCCTGAGCATAGTTTCCAGGAGGATCTGCTCCGTGATCTTACTGGGCACAGAGGAGAAACTGACTGGGCTGTAGTTCCCTGGGTCTTCCTTTTTTCCCTTTTTGAAAACAGGGGTTATGTTTCCCCTTTTCCAGTCAGTGAGAACTTCACTGGACTGCCATGACTTCTCAAATATGATGGAGAGTGGCTTAGCAACTTCATCCAATGGTTCTCTCAGGATCCACAGATGCATCTCATCAGGTCCCATGGACTTGTGCACCTTCAGGTTCCTTAGATGGTCTCGAACCTGACCTTATACAGTGGGTCATTCTTCATTCTCCCAGTCCCTGCCTTTGCATTCTAAGGCTTGGGCAGTATGGCTAGAACACTTGCCGGTGAAGACTGAGGCAAAAAAGTCATTGAGTACCTCAGCCTTCTCCATATCCTGGGCAACCAGGTCTCCCATTTCATTCCAGAGGGGACTCACATTTTCCCTAGTCTGTCTTTTATCACTGACATACCTATAGAAGCTTTTCTTGTTGCCCTCGATGTCCCTGGCCAGATTTAATTCTGTCAGGGCTTTAGCTTTCCTAACCTGATCTGTAACTACTCAGATAGTTTCTCTGTATTCCTTCCAGGCTACCTGCCCTTGCTTCCACCCTCTGTAGGCTTCCTTTTTGTGTTGGACTTTGCCCAGGAGCTCCTTGCTCATCCATGCAGGCCTCCTGGCATTTTTGCCTGACCTCTTCTTTGTTGGGATGCATCGCTCCTGAGCTTGGAGGAGGTGATCCTTGATGAATAACCAGCTGTCTTGGGCCTCTCTTCCTTCCAGGGCTTTGTCCCATGGTACTTTACCAAGCAGGTCCCTGAAGAGGCCAAAGTCTTCTCTCCTGAATCCAGGGTATTGAGCTTGCTGCACACCCTCCTCGCTGCCCTGAGGATCTTGAATTCCACCATTTTGTGGTCACTGCAGCCAAGGCTGCCCTTGAGCTTCACATTCCCTACCAGACCCTACTTGTGGGTGGGAACAAGGTCCAGCATGGCACCTCTCCTGGGTGGCTCCTCTATCACTTGGAGAAAGAAGTTATCATCAACACATTCCAGGAACCTGCTGGATTGCTTGTGCCCTGCTGTGTTGTCCCTACAACAGATATTGGGGTGACTGAAATCCTTCATGAGGACCAGGGCTTGTGAACGTAAGGCTCCTCCTATCTGTCTATAGAGGGCCTCATCTGCTCAGTCTTCCTGGTCAGGTGGCCTGTAGCAGATCCCCACTATAACATCCCCTGTCCTTGCCCTCCCTTTAATCCTGATCCATAAGTTCTCAATCAGCTCCTCACTTACCCCCGGGCGGAGGTCCATGTACTCCAGCTGGTCATTGACATAGAGTGAGACACTC